CCCAGCCAGCATGAGTTGAAGTCCACTCATCTTAAAGTGGCCAAGTTTGGACAACACTGGCTAAGGCCCTCTGCCCCTACTGTTGCCTCAGAGGAACTGGCCATGTCAGCAATGCTTTGGCAGGGCAACCAGGCCTAAAACGTGGGGCTTATGTCCTTGGGAATCAGCATTCCTGTCCCATCTAATAGTTCGCCCTTGGCTTTTCAGCTAGTGGGGATTCTATGACTCTCTGTTTGTTTTTCCTATAGGAATGGCCTTTGCTCTGCTCACTTCGGTAGCTCCAATCTATGGGCTCTACACTTCGTTCTTCCCTGCCTTGCTATATATGCTTTTTGGGACAGGCCGTCATGTGTCCACAGGTAGGGATGCTGCAAGACCCAGGATGCTTTCAGATGACCAGCTTTCTGTCTCCTAACTCTTTGGAATCCCATTTAAACTACCTTCCCCAAATTGATCTGGAATGCTTTGATTGTTTACAAATCTATTCAGACATCTGGACAATGATAAACACAGTTATGTTAACATATCTGCAAATCTATAGACTTTCTAGAGTTGAAACAGGCAAGTGAAACAGGCTCACGTGCCAGCCAATAACTGTGCCTAGTCCTATCCCCTGGGATCTGCATCTGAACACGGGTTCCTTCCTTGTGTTCCAGAAAATAAGAGAATAAATTTCTGGCATTTTGTGTGTGTGTGTGTGTGAGATAGAGAGAAAGAGAAAGAGAAATTGAGAATGTATTTATTTCATGCCCCCATTTCAAGTACAAGGCACCAAGATGCTGCTTCTGAAGCTGCACTCACTGCCATAAAATGGCATTCCCATGTCCACAGATACATCATGGGCACCACAATAGATCAAAATTGCTTGTACGTGCGTGCTTCTGGCTAACAACATTCTGATCAGCAGGGGGCTCATCCTGCATGAGTGTTAGGAGTGCACCTTCTCCTAGAAGACCTATCTGTCAGGATTCAGTCATTGTCTATGGCTTCTGGGTAGGGGAATACTCCTTTGGGGCTTCTTGATATAATCTTTCGCAGATCTACACTCATAACATAATATTAATAATGCTTAGGCTAATATTTAGATAAGTGTAATCTGATAAAGGCTTTACGTGAGCTTGAAACGTGAGAACCTTCTGGTGCACTGGATTGAACGTTGAGTGATGGAGAATGGTCAGGTCAAGTCCCTGCACTGGTTACTGCAAAAGTATTGAGCTTTTATTGTCCAATCCCTTGCTTTATTCATAGAATATTATGGGAAATCCAGATGAGTTCATTCATTTTCCTGTTGTAGCTTTCCCACATTTTCCAATCACTTCTTATACTTTCCTTTCTTATCTCAGAAAATCTGTTAAGGAGGGAAAGACAGGAGTGTCTTTTAATTAATACTGGGAATTGTCTGGAACTCCTTTTGGATATTGCTCATATGTATCAGCTTTTCTGCAAGGTCCAGTGTACTATTCAAGCCAAAGGTAACATCTATTGCTCTTGGTCCTGCAATGTGCCAAAGAGCATTGCATAACACAGTAACACAGTAGAGAGAGGAAATTTGTCATCCTTCACCTGTTTTGGATTCCAGTTTCCATAGTCCCTGATCCCTTGCTCTGGCAGTGGGAATTGGTGGGTGTTTAGCCATGGAGATTGAATTATTGTCTTCCTACTTTGTCCTCTTCCTACTCCACAGGCACCTTTGCTGTGGTCAGTCTGATGACAGGCTCCATGGTGGAGCGCTTGGTTCCCATCCCCCAGCAGTCCAATGGCACAGGTCCTGCTGAAGTGGCCTTGTTGGAGAGACAACGCATTGATGTAGCTGCTGCCATGGCCTTCCTCATGGGGCTCCTCATGGTGAGTTCAGGGTGGTGCTGTAACTCTATGGGGCCAGTGTAGGTTGTTCCACTGGGGAGGCCTTGCATGACACAAACAAGTGATTGTGTTATCGTGCTGTGAGAATGTTGGGTTGACAAATTAGAAAGATGTTCCTTCTGAACTTGGAGCTTTTATTTTTGCTCACTATTAATGAACGGCTGTTTGATTGTCTAATCTCTTTTTTTACATGTGCTTTCTCATTTTAGTAAGCTAAAGATTTTCAGTGATAAATAATAACCCACCATTAATAAGGAATTGTTATGAAGCAGTATCAGTGTAATTTGACACATTTCATATATTGTTGGATGATACTTGAAAAATATTGAAGTTTGCTTTTGTAATTTTTCTTTTTGATGATGATTTTATTTTTACTGCTTTAATTTTCCTTGAGTTTAACAAGCAAACCAGAACTAATAAAATATTTTTAAATCCTTTCATTTTTAAACATCACCATGCAGTTTTTTCTAATTGTTATCTGTTTTGTAGAGTTTGCAACCTGAGGGCTGGTGATTCTTAAAGTTCATTTAAGGTTACTGTCTAGAACTTTCAGTTCAGCAATGTGGCACACATATATACATATATTTGTGTTGTTTGGTCCCCAAAGTCGTTTCTGGACAGTGCCCTTTGGTTTATCAAAAGACATGACAGAGAAGGAAAAGGCGATTAGGAGGAAAAGCCTCATCCACATATTTCAATCTTATGTTCCCACAAGCATAAGAACTAGAAAGTTGTTTTATGAAAACAATGACAGCTGAGATGTTTAAGAGAATGTAAGGTTCTTCCAACGTATTTCTATACCTGAAAATAAAAACAGAAGAGAAATTTTCTAATTTGGCCTGGAAAGGAGCAACATCAGCTTCAGGTTGCATGGCTTTCTCTACCTGTGGAAAAGGTAAAACCAACCACTGCATCTTGGTTCAAGATAGTTCACGTAACTAACTCTGGCGTCTCTTTCCTCAACCCCAGGTCATGATGTTTATGCTTCACTTGGGCTTCCTGTCCACCTACCTCTCGGAACCAGTGATCAAGGCCTTTACCAGTGCTGCTGCCTTGCATGTGGTGGTTTCTCAGCTACAGAGCCTTCTGGGCATATCCTTACCACGCCCCAATGGCTACTTTGCCATCTTCAAGGTAGGGGGATCCACATTCTGGGGCCACCAGAACTATTTATGAAGAGGCAAAATGCCCCTCATCCCTAATCCACCTAATCCTAAAATGTTTGCTTCTCTAAGCTACTATGAATATGCATCAGCCCTTCAAAGTAGGCCCATTCAAGAAATGTTCTTTATTGTAGTATGGGAGAATAACAGAACCTTGAAAGCCTACCCAAGTTTCTCTCTGCCCCATCTTTTAGAAAGGAAAATCAAAATGGGGTATTTTGAGTTTCTTTCTCATGCTTCCGTCTATCTCAGGACTGGGTAATCTCTTCTACAAGTCCCCCCTTAACAGCTCTCCTGTATCTTCCCCAAGGTCCACATTACATTCCTTTTCAGTATGTTTTCTTACAGCTTAGCCATAGTTTCTCTTTCCATCCCTCACCAGGGTACTTTAGGCAAGATGCAAGGGATCCTCGGCTTTGCTGAACCAGCCTACCGGTGCCTGTAGTGATTGTTGCTGGAAGGGTTCAGTAAATTAGCAGCTGCCTTCTCTTCCAGGCTTCTCAGTGGGCATATGTTAAATTCTATTTGTTCAGTGGGAATGTCTCTGGGTTATTCCCTAGACGCTGGCATCTGTTGTGGAAGCGTTGCCCTTAACCAACATGGTGGAACTGCTTATCTCAGGGCTCTGCTTAGCTGTGCTGGTACCTATCAAAGAAATCAACCACCGCTACCGTAGCCGGATGTGGGTCCCCATCCCAGGAGAGATCATCATGGCAAGTACTGAGCCTTCATCCTGTCAAATACAGCTCCCTGATGGCCATATGCTGAGGGAACTCATTCCTTAACTTAACAAATGATGTACATAGAGTTCATTGTTTCCTTGGTATGTTTCTTGAGGTTATCATAATATAAACATACATTACACACACAGACAGTGGAGGCCAGGAGGAGAGATTAAAGGAATCGAGGAAGACCATGTATTTGTTGATGGATGGACTGGAGAGATAGATAATTGTTTCCGTAGTGGATTTGACAAGAAAAGCTGAGCGTGCTATTTGGGATTATTAAAAGATCTTTGGGCTCATCCTCACGTCCACCATGGCACGTCCATCATGGCACCACGTCCATCATGGCACAAATGTGGCCTTGAAGCAGCTTAAAGTTGTCGTTAATTGTTCCAGTTTTAAAGTGGTGTTCTCCCTCTTCTTCTGACCCAGTTTGCCATTGACACTGTCTAGCATGCTTCATCCATGATGTAGTCTGCCCAGCTCGTATTGACCACTTTAGACTGCTGTGGGCATGCCCTCCAGTCACTGGAAACTGGCCCTCATGGCCATTTTGTTTTGGGCTGCAGGAGAGGCTGGACACCTGGCTTCTGCAGAAGTATCTTCCTGATCCATGCTTTCTGTAGCATTTGTCAGGTCCTCCATGGACTCCTTATAAACACAGGTTTAGCATTTTTCTTAAAAAGTATTGGATCTGTGCTTAGAAAACAGGACTTGCACTGTTTTGAGAAAATGCTAGGAGTATGATGCATGGAGAATTGATTAAAACCAGGAAAGATATCTAGGTTCTGGCAGCTATATGTTGCTGGTTCTGTTACGACTGAGTGCATTAAAGATTTTCCACTGCTTCTGTCAACAGTGGGCTTTCTACGGTTGTACTTCTGACTGGTTTTATCACAATAGGAGGAGGTGGTGCCATTTTGCCTACTCCATTTTGGATACAAGGCGATCTGCAGGCTAGTTCCAGCTGCCACCAGCTTTGAGGACTCAAATGGGCATCCTGCCAGCACTGCCATTCTGTTGCAGCCTTATGCAGCCCTTGCCCAACATAAATACAACTTACATAATACTTGATCTTCTTTTTAAAGACATATATGTCTGCTCTAGCTGACCTAGACAAAACTGCGTTCAGTATTCATCCCTATTATACTTAATACATTCAGGTTGCCCTTTTGCAGCAAAATATATTTGAGAGATAGATCAGAATACTTGAAGAGACTTGATTTTTCAGATCTCCAGATATTAACAGCTGCAATCAATGTTTTCAAAGATGATGGTGTTGTTTTTTTATAAAGATTATGTGGGTAGCACTTCTTTTAATTATCTTACCAATTTGACTTCTTGCGACAGGTACTGCTTGCCACGGGAATCTGCTTTGCTTCCTCTCTAAACACCCACTATAATGTACAGATTGTTGGGCACCTCCCAGCAGGGTAAGATCCTTTCCTATCTCCATTTTTCCCATTTTGCATATTGGCTTAAGGCAAAGATACTGCTACTCTATTGGCATGGCAACAGACATGCAGCTTCCTCTTAGCCTGATGCTCTGGTTTGGACCCCATGGTGGTCGGCTTGGCCCTGGAGATGGATGATGGGGAGGGGCAATGAATGGTCTCTTTCCCAGCACATAGTGATTCCCATTCCAACATTCTTTCATGCAGGTTCCCACAGCCCCAGCTCCCAGCTCTGCATCTGCTGCCCCAGGTGTTGGGCGACACGGTGGCCCTCGCTTTCGTGGCCTACGCCATCTCAGTGTCACTGGCCATGATCTACGCTGAGAAGCACCACTATGTCATTGACCCCAACCAGGTGTGTGCCCATCCTGGGAACCTGGGTCTCCTCAAAGGGAGAACTAGAACTTGGAGACTTCCAGCCAAGGAGTCTGCCTACCAGCCCATCCCCTTTGCTTGTCAACCCTGCTTTAACTCCTTGTGTCCTGAAGGATCTGGCTTCCCCAGAGTCTTTCTTCCTTATATCTGCTGTGGGAATGGAAATCAAACACCACTGTTGAAGTATAACGTGATAGCCAGCTTGAATTGGCTTCTGATTCTGACCTGTAGTTTCAGATGGCCATCAGTGGACAGACAGAGCCAGAGCTACACAATTCTTGATTCTTTTTCACTGGACTTCAAGTAATTGAAGGATGTCTCATGAAGCCAGCGCTAGGCCAATGGGGCAGCACACTATAGAGATTCAGGAGTGAAGGGATGTTCCCATTCTTGTCCTTTCTACATTGTGCCCTTGCTCTGCAAATGGAAGCTTTCATTTGGGAAGTTGAAGTTTAGGGCTGAACATTGCTATAGGAGTTTCCAGAGTTGGGTTCTGCACCACCCATTTTTTTTCCAGCCATGCTTGAGGTACTGTTGAAGGCAAAGCAATGGATGTTTCTGCCATCTTCATTGTTGGAGATGGTGGGGCTTTACATGCAACATATTCAATGTTCCTCAGGTTGGAGAAGATTGCCTTCAGGGGCATTCAGTTCACATTCACTTTAACAGGCTTTGGCTAAGCATTAGAGAAGACATTTCTAAGCCAAATCTCACAGTAGTCAATCCAAAACCAACCCAGCTTATCTCTTATAACTCCCAAATAGCTTTTCCAGTTGAGGAACACTGGAAACTATAATTCTCTGAGATTCTTATTATGATCTTTATGAATTCCCAGTATTTGCAGAGTTCCTTGGGAAAGAGGGAGATTAGATAATAAATCAGATTAAAACTGGGCTCTATTTGTACCATACGGCAACCAGAGACCAACCTGCTCCTGTTCTCTGTTATCCCACAGGAACTTCTGGCTCATGGTGTTTCAAACCTAGTCTCTTCCCTGTTCACCTGTTTTCCCAGTTCAGCCACTCTGGCTACAACCAACATTTTGGAGAGTGCTGGTGGACACACACAGGTACGTGGATTAGTAGCACAACTTGCCTTATATTCCACTATTTGATACATTTCTTTTTGCTGCTTAAAAACATCAGAAAAAAACAGTGGATTGCTTGAGAAATAAAAGGATGGTCAAAGCACTAAGTATGTTGGCAAGAGCATGAAGGAATGGTTGGTGTTGTTGTGGATGTGGGGATGTGGGCATCAACAGTAGCTGGGATTATCAGCCAACTTCTGTTCCTGCCAGGCCTTCTCTGTCTTTAACACCTGCACCATGAGCAGAGATGAATCCCTCTAGCAAGGAGATTCACTAACTTGGAGGAGGAGCTTTAGCTACAAGACTTTGCTAATTATATAGCTGCCAACCAGGAAATAAAAATAGTTAGCAAATCTGATTGTCAGCTGGGTTATGGCACTCCAGCTTTAAGCAAGAGGCATCATCAATAGGCCTTCCTTTTACTGTTGGTGCATTTCCATGTTGGGGAAAAAGCAACTGCCTCTGATGAAGCAGGATTGCAACTTATAGTATAGAGCCTCTGTCTGAACTTGAAGTGTGGGTCTGTCAGCTTTGGTACTTGATCAGCAAAATATACCTTTAAAGAGTGCAGAAATCTACGTGTATGCATTCATCATTTCAGATTGCATGAAATATATTCCTGTATCTAAGATTAATCTAGCTAATGGTCCCAATTTAGCTGAAGTTCTATACTTTAGAGGGGCAGGCTGATCCTATTGCTGTTTTAGAAGCAGGCCAACATTGAATCCCTTTGGAATAAAGGATAGAAATGAGCGCAAGAGAAGTTTGTCCTTCTCAATAGCCTCCCACCTTTGTTTGTTTTAAATCCTTCTCAAACAGAAAAATTATTTACATTGGCTTAAGGACTGCTCTACAAATTTCTCTGGACCAGGGACATGAGAGAGAGCAAGGAGGGCTTGGATCCTTGGCCTTGTATATGTAGCTTCTTCCTTCATGCCCTCTGCCCAGTCTACACCTTCCCACTTCCTCCTCCTACCTGATGTTGGAGTTTCCAATATTGGGTAAAATGGTTTCACAAACTGGTGGAGAGAAAGAGTTTTAACTAGATTTTCCCATCCAAAATGAAGTTCTCTCTTGCCAGTGTCAGAGGGAGAGATCTGTCCCAGTCTATGGTCCATGGAATGCTATCTGGGGAGCCAAACGATTGCAAAGTATTAGCATAATGGTGAATGAAGATCTATTAGTCTATTTGTTACCACTGTTTCTTCTCTATCTCTTGGGTACTATGTAGTGCTTCGTTCTTTCTGCTTGGTTCCCAGTAAACCTACTGTCTTTCTGTTAGTCTACCATGACTTAACCAGCCTTCTTTATCCACAGCTTTCTGGACTCTTCACTAGTGCCATTGTCCTGGTTGTGTTAATATGGATTGGACCCCTCTTTCATTATTTACCAAAGGTGAGCTAGATGCAGGAATGGGTTGAAGAAAGCCCAAAGAGAAGTTTTCTTTTCCTAACTAATCCTCAAACAAGAATAAATAAACAAGAATATATATACATACATACATACACACACACACACACACATAGCCTGTTGTATGTGTGATTTGGTTAGCTTTGATAAATTATTGTACCCTGATGCTGCTGGGTTTCTTTAACGGATATTTTATTTATTTACTTACTTCTGGTTAACCCAAAGCCCTGGTAAAATGCTAGTAAAGTTTCTCAAGGAGGGCCACTGTACCTTTAACAAGAAGCTTCCTCCTTGTGACCTTGGCCTCGGGTTGCTTCCTTTCCAATGTCGCTTTGGAATTTCTGGTCAACTGTCCCTTGATTGTCCCTCAATCAATCAGTTCTTGGGCGTGGGTAGGTTCTGAGGACTAATTTCCTTCCAGTAATGATATTCTTTGTGAAATAGCACTGTTTCAGAATTTAAAAACCAAAAAAAAAAAAACGATGAAAGAAAACCATCAGCGATTAAAGCTGTCATTTTCAGGAAATAGGAACAAACTATTTAAGGATAAATTCAATGGAAATTCAGTAATGTTGCATCTTTGCTGAACAGAAAACAGTTACATAAGATTGAAGCTACAAGAAAGAAATTATCCAAGTGAAACTACAGGGATTATTTTTGGGGGCAGGTGATGCTGAGTGAGGCTTGTTCTTTCAAAAAATGTAATAGGAAAATTTTAAGCGCAGACATGGGATATATTCCCACCATATAAATTCTGCATCCAGTTGTAGAAAAACTGTGTCTTAACAGGGCTAAAAAGGCACAGTATGGAAGCCCCCTCCCCCGGATGCTAGCAGGACTGATGTGGACATGGCAGCTTTTAAAATCTAGTCTGGTACATGGTTAGACATGCCTATCATTGGGCTTAGATTTATCTAAGTCTGCATAATTTTGTTGTACATATTCTGAAGCTTTGATCCAGGATGTAACACTTCAGTTTTCATACCAGGCAATTTAGAATGCCAAGAGGTGAGAAACTGGCAACAACAAACTGTAACCTGTGGTTACAATGATAAATCTATGTCTGTACTTACTTACTTACTTACTAGGCATATGTTTCAAGTTATATATATATCAAAGAACTGCTGTCTTTGAACACTTTTATATGAGGTCCCCATCCCTATAAATGGCTGCAATATCACATCACCCATTCTAGATCCTGGTGAATTCCCACTGAGGGTATATAATCCTTCTCTTTCGCAATAAGAACAGCTGAACAATGAAAGGCAGACAAGAAGATGGGGATGGGGGCTACTTTGAACAAGGGAGAAGGGAAACTCTCTGCTCTCATTGAGGGAAAGGACAATAAGAGTAGTTACTCTAGACTAAGGTCCGTGGTTTTAGACATACACATTAAGTTATTTTCTGGTTAAGTGAGTATAGTTTGTTCTCTAACTTCTATTTTCCAGTAATCATGTTTTGGTTCATTAAAATAATAATTTTCTACACTTGACTGATCTGCTTACTGAAGTCTAGGCTCTTGAGGACCACATGATCAGTACAGCCAACATATTTATAAACCTGCGAATAAAAAAAGGAAGGGAATTTCCTATTTCTGTCCTAGGAGAGAGCAAACCCACAATTCATACTGGTGGTAGCAGCCTATTAATAAAGGAGAAAGTTGCTGCACCAAGAACACCAAGATGGCACTGGGGAAGGGGGAGTGTTTGCCAGGTAACCAAGAGGAGAGATGGGATGTGAGGAGAGGGGACAGGTCCGTCCCATTAGTCAGTCTTGACCTGTCTTGAAAAAACAGTCCCTTTATGTGATGTCTGGTTTCTCTTTCGTGTCTAGGCTGTCCTGGCTTGTATCAATGTCACTAGTCTTCGACAGATGTTTCTGCAGTTCCGGGACTTGCCTGAGCTGTGGAGGATCAGCCACATTGACTTTGTAAGTGGCAATAGCATCTGGGAATCCACTATTTCTGATATGTAGTTATTAAAAATTAAGCATTATATGTGTTCCTTCTCCTATAACTGTTGGTATAGGTGCTCAACATTTGCATTTGGAATCTATTATTGATCTTGTTATTGAACTGCATCTGTTATATCAATCAATCAGTTCTTG